GGCATGACATCATTCACACAGCAAGCCGTGGAATCTACATATGGCCATGCATGCAACTGTAGTTCTCCAGTCATGGAAACTACAGTCCAACAAACATGGCAACTACTGTTGCCCAGACATGGCAACCATCATCTTTTAGCATCAAAACTTGTATTCTATAGCCATGGCAGCTACAGTCCAACATACATGGCAACCAACATCCTTTAGCATCGAAACTTGTATTCTAGGTACGAGCTCACTAGTCAAATGCGATCAATCATGAATGTTGCACACAATCATATAGAAGTTGGCAAATCCTGAAGATAATAGATGACTTCTTGCACGCGACCACTTGGTAGCATTTTTGTTTGTCTTTTCCACCACCACCGTGACAAATCTACTTTTCCTCCCATGCTTTTTTCACAAAAGCGAATGCACTACTGTTTTTCTGGTTCACATTTTTTTACCTTGTTGTGCCGCATGTGCTGATCGTATATGGTTTTTCATTCCAATTTGATGTGCTCTATCTGCAATAGCGCTGTCCTGTAACTGTGAAGCTTGCCATGAGATGTTTGCCGATGTGGTTGCACCATAACAACCTGTGATCATGTTAGCAGTTGGTCAATGCATGGCAAATGTAGTTTGTACAACATGGCACATGTAGCGGTGCATCCATGCCACACACATTTGTTCACACTTGTCATCCACAGTTGTTTAGACATTTGCAATCACATTTTATGACACATGGCAAATGCAGCTATCTAGGCATGGCAACTACAGTTGTCCAGGCATGGCAACTGCAGTTGTCCAGGCATGACAACCCCAATGTCACATATGTTCCTTCTCCTAATTCACTATCCACAACTTCACTTCATGGACTCACCTGTGTACGACGTTGATGGCAGGTACATGGTTGCCGCCTGATGCCACGTGTTTCATGAAGGTCCTACATTTTTCCCATATAACTCGTGAGTCTTTTGCCATCCTTGCAAGTTTAATTTCATGGCCACACCAGTATGTTTCTTTTTCGTATGTGTTACTTTGATTTGCCACATTAGCTACTTGAAGTTGATCGCCCGTACATTTGTCAGCGTTAGCGCCCTGTGAACTTGCCATGGTATCCCCCTGAGTGTGGTTGGATCATAAGAACCTGCGAAAAATGACATTGTGGGACATAAGTAGAATGGCATCTTCCTCGTCACAAACATGGCAACGGTTCCTTTTTTAATCATACATCGTACCGATACCCGCGTACTGCTCTAGTAGTGGCAGCAACGACCCTGCAGAAATGAGTTGATCGTACTCTGCTGCATCCCAAGGGGGCGTTTCCGGCCTTTGAGAAAACCAAGGATCAGTGTCGTCTTCGTGATTCATTCTTCCCTTTTTTTCCGCCACTGTGTTTTCAGTCACTGCATGAACAAGAACGCATCAATAATCTGCAAAATGCATTCTTGTTGTTTGCACATAGAAGATAACACGACAATCTTATCACATTTCCTGTGTAGGCAACCAACACATCATGGCAAGTAGGACATGCACATTCATTCTCTTTTCTAAAATCTGGGTGTCAGCTATCATTTTGAAGCGATGGCAACAACCAGTAAAATAGGATGGCAAGCAACAACATAACGTGGTGGCAACTAACGACAATGATAGGTGGCAACTGATGTTAGATACAAGTGGCAATTATTTTTCCTCCCTCCCTATGCCAAATTCCTCCTTTATCTCCCTATTTTTAGTGATTCCTACGCATCCTTCAGGACCAACTGCTCGCACCAAGCCAACCCAGAAGCTTAGCTCAACTCTAGTATAGAATATGGCAGATCTGACATATTCTGGTGGGCAAATGTGAATACACACAAAAACCATGGTGTGTTTGCCCAGACAGCGTGGATCTAGTTGCCATCTTCATGGGCAATCTGCAATTTCAAATTTCTGGACAAAAGAAGGCTGAGAAACAGAAGGAGATCGGGGATCCACCTATTTTAGATCGTCGTCTTGGGAGGGCGGGGTGGAGCAGGGGGTGTTGGTTAGCGGTGGGGATGCGCTAGGGATCTGATCTGGTTGCCATGGCAACCAGAGAAGGAAGGTGATGGAAGTAGGGGATCGAGAGGTAGGAGACGACGGCGCAGGTCGCACTGGGGATCAAAAGGAGGCCGGGGCGACGGGCGTGTTGGGTCGTGCGGGCAGCGCGGTCGTTTGCCCGAACGTGTGGGCAATTATGCCACACACCGGACGTGCGGGCTGTGGCTGCGTGCGCCCGGATGTGTGGGCGATTATGCCACACACCAGACGTGCGGGTTGTAGCTGCGCGCGTCCGAACGTGGTCATGCAGGCGGGGTTGACTCCGTGCCACACAAGGCGTGCGGCACAACCACCCGATATGCCACACATGTGACAGTTATCAACGTCCTTCCATAAAAGGTACTCCCTCTGCTCCATATTAATTGACTCACACTAAATTTTCAGAGGAAGCCCGTGGTCTCTTCTATCTTTTTCAGCTGGAGTTAATTGTAGTCTTTTAGCATCTTGTTTTTCTTTTGACGTGTTTTAGCACCTTGTTTTGGCATGATTCCATATACTTGACCGCTCGCGTCGCTGCATTGCTCATTGCAGGGAGGTGCAGTTTCTCAAGCATGGACGCAAGCATGAACTTGCCTGAAACAGGGGAGGAGCCCAATGGGCTGACCCCGATGCATAGGAATACGGGCTCAACAAAAAGATAGTGGTGATTATCATCTAAAAACGCCCTAGAAAACAGGTTGGACCAGCGGCAGTGCATCAAGGAACCCTATTTTGGCGCCTTATGCGCCAAATACAATGTTATTTACAACTTGCAAGTGGGCCAGCCCATATAGTTCGAGTAGTTTTTTCAGAAGCCCCTCCAGTTTGGGAAGCTTCCCAAGAAGTTTTTCATGTGTTCTTTAGTTTTCTATTTTCTGGTTTCACCTAGTTTTTGTCTGGGTTTTTTCGTTTATTTTTTGTTTTCCTTCTCTTTTCCTTTTTTGTCAAATGCATGATTTTTTCAATTTATGTGAACTGTTTTCAATTTTTGAATTTTTTTAATTATGAACATTTTCAAATTCATGATTTTTGAAATCAAATTTTCCCTATATTTCATGTTTTTAAAATGTATTACCTTTTTCATATTTTCCCTCAAAAATTGAACTGTTTCCAACAAACTATTATTTTTCTCAAATGCATTAACTTTTTAAAAATCAGTGAACTTTTTTGAACTTCATGAATTTTTTAAAGTTTGCGATGTTTTAAATTCGTGATCATTTCTAAAAGTCAATGGTCAACATTGGCGTCAGCTTAGCGGTCAACACTCAGTTTTGTGCCATCAATGGTCAATGCAAACGATTTGAGAAAATATGCACGAATGAGAGGGCTTTTTTTTCTTAAGCGGACAGACGAGAGAGCTGAGCGAGGCGGACGAGGGAAGGAGTATTAATGGGCTTCGGCCCTTGTCAATCGCTAGTGGGCACCAGGAGCAAAATTTGGCCCTACAGGCCCCGGCCCAATTTCGTGCGCATGACCACTTGTCTCGTGGAGTGGCATCGGAGAGCAACTAACCAGGAGCGCTTGTTTACTTGTAATTTCGTTTTTAAAAGTCGAAACTCGAATAACGATGCTCATAGCATAGCCAAGTTTGTTCGTTCTTTAGGTCAGGGGCGCCACGTGTGGCTTGGCCAACCCCATGATCCGAGATGTATTCCACGTTCTATGGCTTATGAATGAATAAACTTGGTTCCCCTTAAAAAAAACCAGGAGCGCTTGTTCGGTTGTGCCCGTGCCTTTCGAAAATGAAAAAAAAACATATTTTTAGCTTCTGCGAGAAGCATGGTTTCGCTTTCGTAAGAGGTATGATTCTGATTCCACGAGAGGCACAGTCATGCCTCTCAAAAAGGAAAAAAATATGTTTTTGTTTTTTTTCTTCTGCGAGAGGCACGGACGTACCTATTAGAAACGAAAAAATGCGTTTTTTTTCCTTTTGTGGGAGACACGACCGTGCCTCTCGGAAATGGCACAGCTTCCTGAAAGAGAAAAACCATGCTTCCGGTGTGGTTTTTTGTCTGTTTTTTTAAAAAAAAAAAGTTTGTCAAGAATACCAACGCGAGGAATTCAATGATAAAAATGATTCAAAATTTGAACGCACGGTTTAAGAAATAAAATGTTTTGAATAAACGAATCCACTTGTCGCAACTTGGTTGGAGCTACGCTAGAGCTGACCTGGGCCGTGGCCCGCACAGCTCTGGAGAAAAAAAGATTAGATACCTAGGCCCAGCATTCACTGAGGCCCCAACCCCATGGCCCGGGAGCTGACGCCTCACGCCACACAGAGACGCAGCACCCGGCGACTCAGCTGCCGCCGCCCCCCGCCACGCCGCAACAGCAGGCCGCCGCGGCTCCGCCCACCGGCCAAGGGGGCTGCAGCACACAGCAGCACGGCGAGTCGGCGTCGACCAACCCACGACCCCACGCGGCCACAGGTACACGCAGCTACCACCGGCATCCAAGCAACACCCAAATGAGCTCCTCCTTGAATCTGATCCTCTTGTCTCTCAAGCCTCAATCTCTCCAATTCCAGTGAATCACTACAAGCTGCACATATATTTTGTTTGAGGCATTCTCAGTTTCTCCCTAAATTTCAGTTAGGTCATCGTCTATTCATCTCATTACCAATATGCTAGCATGAACAATTCACTCAATTATTGTTTACAGTTTAGAAGTTGCAGTAGAGGTAGCTATGTGCAAGGACAGTCAAAATTGGAGTGCCTGACAGATTATCGTATAGTAAAGTTTGGTATAGCTTATTTTGTTTGTATCTGATCTCTTCATATTGTAACAAATAAGAGAAGTTATACTGATTAATGCCAGTGATCCAGAATTTGATATATATATATTATTATTTTTGTGTGTGTGTGTTCTTTAGCTTGGCCCCCAAGCAATTTATTTGTAGCTCAGAAGCCTGTGTTCCCGGCCACGCCTCGCCCACTCGCGCTGGGTGTGCCTCGGAGATGGCCGACGCGTCATTTTTCGATAGGATGGTTTCCCAGCTCCGGTCCACATCCAAGTGAGGAAAACCTCCACATACCTCAATCCTGCCTTTTAGTTTTGTTTCCATACATCTCGGTCTGTACATTTTTCAGCAGAACAGGTCGATTCCCCTTCAAATGATTTAGCCCTTTTTATTTTGGAAAATAGCACGCTTGCATAGACTGAGTACAGCGGAAGTGGCGCTATTTATCTCATTAATCCCGTTTTGGAACTGATACATAGTTTGTCTCTTTAGCCTTTTGCTAGCATGCCAAGTATTCCAGTACAACTGGTGATAGATGGTCTGCAGAAGAGTGCAAAACTAATAGTAAAATGTTAGTGCTCATGCATTTACATCTATTTAGATCATTGAAGAAAGTTGAACATGCCGTCTTAATCGTAGATGGTGGTTCGTGACTTCTTCAATTAGGCAAGATGGATTCTATAGTCACTTGTAGGCATTCTCTTAGTGTATAATTAATTTATTATTGACAAGACAGCTTTGGACTAATCCTGTTACTGAGATATAGAAAAGATATGACATATGTGGATAGAATATCTTCGGATATGTAGGGTATGTAATGCGATGTGTGCAAAAAACTCATTACCTCCTTTGTATATCTATCTAATTCTGTTTTTGTCTTCAGCATGAACGAATTTAACTAAATCTTCTCTTGAGACTTTATTCGCTAGTGCGTGCAAGCGGTTTTTGTTCATGAATACCATTGCTCTAAAGACGGTTATAAAACCTGTAGCTTGTTGCTTGCACTAACTCCGGAAGTCATTGTTTGCACACAGTCTGGCAGGCATTGTTCGCACTCTCACAGCTTTACAAATAGTAGAATTTAACTAATTTCCCGTTTATGGGTGTATCACTATTTTATTATGTTTGAATCATCTTGTTGGTATTGAAGGTACTACACTGGATATCCCAAGGATCTAGGTCCATCAAGAATCATACCGTTCACATCAGAGCGTCAGTTTGTGCAGCTATTACATGAAGGACGGCCTGTAGTTGTGGCCTTTACTATTAAGTATGTTAGGCTCATGTTTTTTGTTCAGAAACACAAGAATAGTTGAGTTGTACTATGTCAATAGCTTTGCACATGCTTACAACAGTAATGAAATTGCTTTTGTAGGTGCACTTATACACAACATCTTGACAAAGTACTGGAGGAAGCTGCTGCTACATTTTATCCTCATATAAAGTTTGTTCGGGTAAGCCAATACTCTTATTACGCCCGCAAAAAATATGCCATGAAGTATTTTCCGGTCACCTATAAGATGATGAGTTATTTTTTGAAAACTTTAATGCACTCTGCTTTTCTATCTGTTCAAATTACCATGTCTAGCTATTATGGAACATTGTAAAGGTTGGTTTGCTGTCTCAACTGCATGTTAAAATTCAAAATCTTGAAGTTAGTCCTATCTGATTTAATTTGTATACACCTAATACAATACTACCTTTGGCGAATCTAATTCATCATGCACTATAAAGTTCACCTATTTCAGTTTTCTGTTGAGCTTCAGGCACATGTGTGGAAGCTCTTTGTTTTGCGAATGTATCTTCGATGATCTTTCCTAGGCTTTTCTTTCACCTGCTAGAGAAGCAGCTCTATGGGAAGCTTAGATGTGTGAATAGTTGTACTTCTATTGTTTTGGCAATTTACAATTGTAGATATTATGATGTACAAAGATACGATCAATTAGTCACAAGATAGTTTAATTGCCTGCCTGTCAAATCAGACTGTCACTTTTGATTTCCTTTTCATTTGGATGCTTTATCTTGGGTGATGTCATGATACACTTGCTTAAAATTTGTGGCTTCTTGCTTCTCATCTATACAAACTGTGACTGCTGCCATCCGGTTTGCCTTTAGTCTCAAACTGATAGGAATTATTGTTTTGTTCTACGTTGTCAGGTGGAATGCCCAAAGTATCCTGGGTTTTGCCTCACGAGGCAAAAGACTGAGTACCCATTTCTTGAAGTATTTTACAACCCAGAACAGGTCATGATTGTTTACTTCACCTTGCATCGGTTAACACATGTTGCCACTTCTTTACTTCAAACTATGTGCCACCTACATTTTTGTCAACGATCTTGATTCTTGATCTTATTTATTTATTTTCTTAATTTTTGTGGCTAAAGCTGCTGCCTTGTGACCATGAGGTCACGGGTTCAAGTCCTGGAAACAGCCTCTTGCAGAAATGTAGGGAAAGGCTGCGTACAATAGACCCAAAGTGGTCGAACCCTTCCCCGGACCAGAGAAGCACTAATCTTCTTTTGAGGGAGAATAAACTTAAGTTCTCAGGAAATGTGTGTTTTGTGGCTCCATCTAGAGATTCGTTGCATCCTTTGTCAGACCAGGAATTAGTGTTTTCATTTGCATCTCATTTCCGTATTGGAGAAGGTCCTGCTCTGCTAACTTGCTCGTGTATGGTCAGTTTGTTCTTTGTTGACCGTGAATGGCGTCGGTACTGTTTGTAGTTATTATTTGCTTAGCTGTGTTTAATGTGTTCCCATTATTTCATGGCTAGGCATCGCATATTATTTGGTATAGAGCTCCACATCATTTCCCTAGAATGAATTTGGTTTCCATTTCTTTCTTCCTTATTTACTTGCTCGTCGTGTTATCTGCACCTACAGTACAGTTTATTGTCATTTTATCCTGGTAACATCATGATGTGTATTTTCTCAGGCTGCTAACCCAGGAAAGATCGTGGACCCGAGCATCACGAAATACTCCGCAAAAGTCCTACCTGTAAGCAATGCCCTGAAGCGTGCTTTCAAAATATTCATGCATGAGCCATTCATGCATTACTCACTTGTCAAGTCTAATGCTGTATAGAGGTCCGGTTCATGGTTTCCAGGTTGAGCTGATGTGATGCTATTTCCTTGTGTGCAGTTCAACTATGACCAGAGCGTGTATGGATTCCGGGAGTATTTTAAGAAGTATGGGTTCAAGTATTCCGAGACAAACTAGGTCTGTCATCATGAAGCCCTGCAGAGTTAGCCAGTCGGACTGGCATGATGAGGCCTAGTTATTAAATTTACTTTCAGCATGTACCAGCAGTGATGCTGTATATGTATCAGCACTCACTGCATATTGGCTCTGCTTTGGTGGTTGAAAATATGGCCAAGCTGTTAGCTAGGTTTCTGGTACGCTCAAGATTCTAGTAGAATTTCTGAATGTTGCATGTTGTTCTTTGTCGAATCTCTGAACTGCATTTTCAGACTCAGTATTAATAAAAGGACAACGCTAACGCCCACACGTGTGGTGAGCGAAACTTGCCCACACACCCTGTAGTACACAGACTGCGTCACGTCACTGTATGCATGCATGTGATAATCTTTTTGGATTTCCTGTTTATGTTTTATCTCTTAAATAAAAAAATCCGATTGAAGATCCGTTTTCACCATTAAATCTCTCGCGATGAGATCTTTGAAACTAAATCTCATATCAACATATTTCGACAGAAAAAAATCGGCTAAAAGTTGCCATGTCTATTGCACATGAATTGCCATGGTGTTTACACTGAAGTTACCACGATATATTTTAACTATTTTCTTCTACATTTAAAAATAATTTTTAACATTTATAAAATAGGAAATTAAAAAACTAGACTTGCCATGAACCATAAGCTAATATTGCCATGATACATGCACTTAAAATTGCCAGGGCTCATACAAAAAATATTTTTTATGATCAAAGTACTGCAGTTGCCATCATCAAAATACTAAAAATTTTATGCTCTACAAACTGAAATTGCCATATGGCAACTTTAGTTTAAGCACCATGGCAACTATAATGTAAACATCATGGCAACTTCTGGGCAAAAAAAATCGTCAAAATATATCAACATGAGGTCTAGTTTTGAAGATCTCATCGAGACGGATTTAATGATGAAAAAGGATTTTTAATTTGACTTTTTAATTAGGAGATAAAACATTTTTAAGCCGAAAACCAAAAAGATTCCGGCTGATGTCATCTATTCACATGTGACAAAATGAGTGGTAAAGAAGGCGTGTGGTCAATGTGCAATATGCCACACGTGTGGGCGTTAGTTTTTTCGTAATAAAATTATGTGGCTCACCATCTCAAGTGCATTATAGGACGGGCCTGTGTCCGTGCAGAAATTCTTCTACTCGCTCCTTTCAGAATTAGTTGATGCTCATCAAACGGATGTATCTAGATCAGAGTAGCAAACTATGTGTTTATTGCTGCGGAGTTTGCAAACTGTGCCAGAAGAAGGAACGTTGAATCAGAAAACCTGGTAAACTTTTCTTTTTTTCGAAACGAAAAAAAAATCTGGTAAACTTAGGCTGCGCTTTCTCAGTGTGGAACTGTACCGATCTGTACCCAAGCGGAACGGCAAACAGTCCCTTCAAAAAAGGTTCACGAATGCTGCTCATACTTGCACTGTTGCACAACCGCCTCGCCCTCTCCCTTTGCTGCCATCAGAATAAAGCTTCTACGAACATGCAATCCAGATCAAGAATAAACGGGATAACTTACAACTTGTGATACACGAGCTTTCCATCAAGCATACAGATGAAATTCTCAGGTAACCAAGTAGCAATGTGGAAAAACTGTTGCAGCCATCAACGCGTTACATTACATCAGAGGCATAAACCGAGCAGCAGAAAACAGTTGGCACCCTTAGGACTCTGCTTTTATCGGCTGCGGATCAGAAGAAGCGTTCATATCATTTGCAGCTTCCTCTCTTTCTTCGACGACCGCGTCGTCTTCAGTTGCCTCTTTTTGGGAAAGCATCTCCTTTAACCTTGCCAGCTCCACATCTTTAGCCTCTAACTCCTCTTGCAGTATGGAAACCTAAGGAGGAGTTGGCAGTAAAAGGGTTAGAGGATAAAATAAGCAAGCAATTTAGTAGCAACAGGAGTGACGAATCCTACCATTTCATTTGACCTCTCGACGTCATTTGTTAGGCCATCCATGTGTTTGTACAGCCCTGACAACGCAATGAAAAGGTTAAGTACCTCCATGTTAGCATACTATCCATTAACAAGGAGCAGAGCAATTTCTGTTCTAAATGACCTACAAATGTCCACCAGCTTTAACAATTTTTATAACAAACACACATATTGGTTATTTGTCACTCCTTTCACTTGGATATATAGCTCAACACGTACCATCGAACTGATTCCTGAGCTCATTGTTCTGGGTCTTCAGAACTGCAATTTTCATTCCAAGTTCATGGATCTGTACCAAAGATACTTCATAAGAACGCATTCTGCCAAATATAATAAGGCAACAAATTTCTCTTCTAGTATGTTGGTTGTTCAAAGAATGACCAATGATTCTTTTCCTCCAAAGGCAGAGAAAACCATAGAAAATGTATATAAACGGCTTATGTCTGTTGGCAGACTTACTTTTCCTTCAGAAGCCATTGCCCCAATCTCTTCATTTTCCTCTTGCAATGTTCTACACTTGGCCATTAGCATCTTCCCATGTTTGCTGGATGGGGTAAAATTGACAGCGGCAACATTTTCCTGCAGTTCTTTTATCTTTTTCTCTTTCTCTTCAGCCAGATTCTGGACAAAAATGGGCAATACCATTTGTTAGCCACTCGGTGTCAAGCTATGTAAGGTTCAGCCTTCCTAAGATAATAGAAAACACATCTTTTTATTTCCACACTTGAGGCATTATCAGCAATTCAGCATGGCTAGTAATATGCTTGAATCATCCATCTATCATGTTCCCATATAATACATTTGCGAGTTACAATTTATTCCGTAAATATTCCATTATTTTCATAATACATTCTTTGTGATAGTAAAACTGCTGGGCTTTGTGCCTTTCATACTTGTATAAGGGGACCATAGCCATTAGTTTAAGTCTTTGTCTCATTACATATTTGACTAATTATTACAAAAGATGGTGCAGAAAGGCATCAGAAAGACAGAAACCTGCTATAAAAGGTTCTCTTAGACTTTACAATGTCAGGCTTTCAGTTTTAAAACATGCTGGCACAAACAACTCTTATAATTCAACATGAATTGTATGATTGAAGGAGAATTGCTGACCTTTAAGCGTGTAAATTCCTCGTGAATTGCTGGATCAAGCAATAATCGTCTTGTCTGTTGAAGCAAACAGAAAAAAGGGATGTAAATAAGCTATTTAGTGTGATAACATAGGGTTTAGGAATTATTAACTCCAATTACTACAGCTTCTCAGGGAGCTTAAGGCCACATTATCAAAATGTAGTAGTACTGTCCCAATTTGTCCCGTGAAATTCATGTCTAGTTCCTGCAGCCCAAACAGCACCTAAGCCTGTTCCTATACCAAGAGCCCAGTCCATTAGCTTCTCTAAGAAGCTAGCGTTTGAAAGAAGTTAATCCTGCCATGCAGGGAGTCCAAACAAAAGGGTAGTATCATAGACAATTAGACATGACGTGAATGAGAAGATATTTAAACGGAACATAAGGTATTTCCACTCAATGTTAAAGAAAATATAGATGATAGCTAGATTAGATGATACGGTACCATCTTCAGTATTCGGAGAATCTCACATTCATAATTCCATTCCACAAAGTTCATCTTGTTGTTTAAGTGGAACAGTTAACCCTGTAATCATAGTTGCAGTGCAGCTCATGACTCATTTTATTGGAATTCAGAAACGATACATAACAGAAAATTTCGTACGGTGAACCTTGCAATGTTTTTTTTTGGACTGTAGGCCTTAGGATGTCTGTTCACTACAGAATCTGGTGTTGACCACCTACAGATAATCCTTCAAATTAGCGAGGATGCAGTTTAATAATCATAGCACATAACCTTGTTTTAATACTCCCTCCGATCCAAATTACTTGTCGCTCAAATGGATGTATCTAGCACTGAAATACGTCTAAATACACCCATTTAAGTGACAGGTAATATGGATCGGAGGGAGTATAAGATGCAATATAGAGACCGTAGAGGCATAGACCACTGGATCTGTAAAATCACGAACAAACTGCCCTCTGCTAGACCATAGAGAAGAACATGACTAAGATACACCCTACCACGTCTCGTAGGAGACCCAAACCTCGCATACGGGTGGACCGAGTCGGGTGAGTAGGCTGGATTGCTAAGTTCTACCTCCGTTTGATCCTCTACCGGCTCTAGTGGTCATATAAAGGAACACAAGCGGGTTCCCACATCCCCGGATATGATTAATGCATGGAAGCTAAGGAATTGGGTCATTCTTCAGCCCAAGATGCAAGCATTTGGGTTTACTTCAATTAATATGAACCTATACAGTAGGTACCCCACTAAATATGGTAGCTTACTAAATATATTACTTGCTTGCAACCTCCTCTGCCTTGTACTCCCTCCGTTCCTAAATATAAGTCTTTGTAGAGATTCACTATAAATCACATACGGATGTATATAGATGCATTTTAGAGTGTAGATTCACTCATTTTGCTCCGTATGTAGTCCATAGTGAAATCTCTACAAAGACCTATATTTAGGAACGGAGGGAGTATATATTTGTTCAAGCTACTCTCATTCGTATACATGGGTCAGTACAATTGGTATAGATAAAGGTCAACTAGTGCAGATCATGGAGGCCACTATGTCAAAGGGAACAAAGGTGAGCACACAGAAGAAAGAGCATGGACGCCTTTTGACAAGAAGCAGAGTTTGTGAGTTTTCCAGATAATATGATGGTATAGTTTACATGTACTGCTGTCACTTTGCCTGATAAAGTAGTCTACATAGCTGGAGCAGTACTGGTACCAAGTCCAGATTTGATTGAAATGAATCCAATACTAATTATGGTTTACCAAATTGAAGTAATAATAACTATAACTCTACAGTAAGGTGTGCACAGAACAACAATGGTCAAGTCCAAAATAAGCCATTTTAGCAACTAAGTATTCTTTTACAGTTTACATTCTGCAGTAGATTTAATCTAAACAAATGAACAGAACCCCTGTACAAGCAACTTTTGATAAACACTAATAAGTTCAAATACATGATAAATTGGCAAGCGTAAAACAAATAGCATAAGTAACACTATTTTACCTGCATTGATGGTGGCCTCAATTGTGTTTTCAAGTCCCTAACTGCAGACTGCAAATTCATACAAAAAAATTAACAAACAATCAATACAAACTAGGACGCTAAAAATTGATCAATTGAAAATAACTAAGTATTGGTCAGATTTATCCATATTGAGATGTTTCTCCTCGTCGTAGGAGGCTCCCGGAGGGTACCTTCAATTCCGCAATCTCTTGTTCTCGTTTTGCAAATGTTACAATAAAAGCAGCTTCTCTTTTCTTCGCTTTCTCCAGCTGAGTATACAATTAAGGAACAATCAAACCGAAGCAAAGCATGACTATCGTATCAGTTTTACGAGTATGACACAACAACCAACCTGCTCCTTCAGTGACTCCTCTGACGACTTCAGGTTATTGAGATAAGTAACCACCGAAACAGGCTCTGCGTTTCAAATAAATAAATAAATATTCTTTACACAGTTATTACCAGAAATAGGATGGACTTCGATTTAACTTGCAAACCTGGATTGGTTCCTGCAGGTACAGCAGGAATGTTCTGAAATGCTGAATGCCACTTCTGGATTTCTGATTTAGCAGCTTCCAGTTCCACCTGTGAATTATAAATGCAGCGTTTCAGAAATTCCAGCATTATGGATCATATATGTTAAGCTATGTAGAGGTAACACTGGAACGAAATGCAAACATTGGTGTAAAAAACTGCATGCATGGTTACTGAAACTACATCTCCATATTTAGTGACAGACATTAATCATTCTATTATAGAGAAATTGTCTGCTCCGTGGGTGTACTTTTAGTTGTGACTTGCCTTTCTGTTTCTCAGATGTCTAAATTTTAAGTAAAGTTCAGGTATGTTAAGCTTTATTAGTTTCACATTTTCATATGATTAAGTAGTCGAATGTTCACAGTTGCACTATAGACTGAAAGAACCCTTCAAGGCTATTATGAAACAATGGAAGTCTGTGAGGCTTGGGTTTGGCCAATAATAATTCACTGAACAAAGAACATATACCGAAAACACAGTACATACTATCCCAGAATGATTGCTTGCCAATTACAGTTAAACTGCTCATACAACTAATGGAGTGCACAGTTATTTTATACCAGAATGAGGCATAACAGGGTACTTCAATTACACCAACACAACATAAATTGAGCTCAATAAAACTGTACTCAACTAGCAAATGATAACATTGAAGAACAGTGACTAACTACACACCTGGTTTGATTCAAGATTCTCTTTGCAGGTCTGCAAACTTCAAAAGGGCAAGAGGAGTTAGTGTCATTGTTACAATTAACAATAGAACAACAGTTATTTGGTAAAAACAGCAATAGATCAAAAGTTAGATAAGAAATATAATATACCTTTCCCGGAGAGACAGAATCATTCCCGTGGCAGCACCTGGTGCACTTTCCTCCACCTTTGTCTTTCCCTGCACACAAACTTGCTGTCTTAAATGAGAGATTCTTGTTCCATGAAATTGTTAAAACTTAAAGGACTATTAGGTAGGCAAGAAAGCATATGTTTAATTTTCTTACTGCATCTTTCCATTACCATGTGAAACAGCCACAGTATCTACTCCCTCCGTTCCAAAATAGATGACTCAAAGTTAGTACAAAGTTGGGTCATCTATTTTGGAACGGAGGGAGTACTATCTAATGCATCTGACCATAAATTCGAGACAGAGAGAACTTCACCAAGACCAACGTGCTAAGCATTTTTCCATGCTGTATGTATCATTGCAATCCTAATGGCAATCGTAATTTAGAATGCTTCCAGTGGCAGAAGGAAAAAAAACGTACTGATACTTTGTACCAGGTTGAAAGAGGAAACCTAGAAGAATTACCTTCTTGGAAGCGAAGACATCGTCTTCGTCGTCATCCAGATCGCCGAACTGCCTCTTCTCGCCTGCATAGAAGCAGCAGCAGCAGCAAAAGCGCCGTATGAACCAGGTGAGCTTCCGAGAAGCCGAAGCTCGAGCATGAGTGAAAGCAGAGGCGGAGGAGGAGGGACTGAAGGAGGGCACCGGAACGGGCGGGTGCGGCGTTGCGAGAGGGCGAGGCGTTGAAGTCGCGGCCGAAGGTGTCGTCTTCGTCTAGGCGGGGGGAAGGTGGGTCCGCCATGGCCTTCGCTGGCGTCGTGCGGACAGCGGGATGCACTGCCGTTCCGGCCGCCGAGGAAGTGGTGCTGCGGCGGCGAGGGTTTGGGCGCTGGCGCCAGCGGGATGGGACCGGTCTGAGGAGGGGGCTCTGTTTGTGGGCCTCTGCGGGGAACGGGCAGCGACGAGACACGAGACTGCGCCACGGCCTTTTTTTGACGGGCTGTGCCACGGCCCTTTTCTCTAGCGCGTATCTTTTGTTTCCGCGGCCTCTTTAAACACAAGACGAGAGCAAACATTTGAATACTTTATTATTTTCACAAGTAAATCATTCTCCTGCACAAACAACAGACTGCGCGTGTTTTGAGGGAGCAACTAGTTAACGAGCGCTCCTTCGGGAGCCTCGCAACGATCAGCGTCACTTGGCGTGCTCTCAGCCATTCGCCATGTGTTGCGCTCTGGACGCTCCCTCCGAATTTTGTTTTTTTATTTTTCCGCATGCGTTTTCGGCTTTTTAAACGGTTTTTTTGGGGTTTTTTGATGTTTTGGCTTTTCCACGGTCTTTCTTAGCTTTTCGACCAAAAAAAAATTAGAAAAAAAAATATTTTTTGCGTGAAAAAATGTGTTTTCTTTCTTTTTCTTTCGTGAAAGTCACTGTTTTTTTTCCGCGAGAGGCACGCTTGTGCTTTAGCGAGAGTCATGGTTGTGCCTTTCGGAAACGAAAAAAAATTATTTTCTATTTTTTTTCTTTCACGAGAGGTACGGTTGTGCTTTCGCGAGAATCACGGCCGTGCCTATCGAAAAGGAAAAAATAAAACGCGTTTTCTATTTTTTTTCCTTTCGCGAGAGTCACGATTTTGCTTCCGCGAGAGGCACGGCCGTGCCTCTCAGAAAGGAAAAAAACATGTTTTCTATTTATTTTCTTTCACGAGAGTCACGGTTGTGCCTCTCGGAAACGAAAAAAAACGTGTTTTCTGTTTTTTTTCCTTCCACGAGAGTCACGGTTTTGCTTCCACGAAAGGCACGGGTGTGATTTCGCGAGAGGCACAGGTGTGCCTCTTTTGGAAAGGGAAAAAATCATGCTCCCGGTTTAGTTTTTTCGTCCGTTTTTTTCATGAAAAAAAAAGTTCGTAAAAATCTATTAACATGGGATCTAGTTTTGAAGATCTCGACGTGGGGAATCCAATGATGAAAATGGTTCGAGATTTGGACGCAGGGTTTAAAAGATAAAGCGTTTTAAATAAACGAATCTACGGAAAAAGAGAAAACTCTCAGATTGCGACAAGTGACGCGCTGCATCTGCGTCATTTGTCGCGACTAAAAAAAGTAGAGTGTTCTTTGCAACAAATACTCATTAATTAGTGATTTCGATGTTTTGAATAGCATACTAGTAGAATTTACCAGCATCCAGGATGTACATATTTGAATTTCTTCTGTACAACACTGAGCTGAAGACGATTTTTTTGTACACTAAGCTGAAGACGCGCTACTGATAAAATGGTGCAAAAGGTGGTCTGGCATATGCCTTCAATCTCAAGCAGCTCCATTGACCACCGCACGATCGCTGCCTTTTTTCCTCCATGGCTTCATATATTTCAGAGTAACAATTTGGGTTACTTTGAAATATTAGTCTGGGTAAGAAACATCGTCAAATGGCTCGTAAAAAAAGTGTCAAACGGAGTCGATTAACTGACATTTTTGCTTTCGCTTGCTAGCAATATATACCTTGGTCCTCCATTCAGATATTTGACCAACACCTTTGACCCTCATTGAGACCGGCTCAAGCAGCAATTCTTCGTCATTATCATCTTGGCGTCATGGGCTATCTCAAACAATCGAAATGACTGCATTAAAAAAAAGGAAATAGAAATAAAATACATTAATAGGATAGGAATTAATAGAGGATAGGATAACACATGATTTGTGTTAACTTGGGTGTTTGATTCACATAGTAAATTAAAAAAACACAAAAAATCTTAATAAAGACAGTCAAATCAAAATCAAACCACATGAAAAATGTATAGCTAGATTTTATTGTGCCACTAAGGATCTTATGGTTTCTTTGGTTAAAGAAAAAGTGAAGGAATAACATGTGAATGGGATTATGTTTTAGGGTGACACTATTCATGTGTTTGGTTCAAAGGAATGGGGTAAAGGAAAAGGGGAGGATTTTTCCTTTAATCTCAGTTTCGAAGGAAAGTGCATAATTCTAATATCCACTTGAACCTAATTTTCAAATTCCTATGCATAAAGAACAATACTATGAACCCATATCTCTAGAATTTAAAGGAATTAACCCAGATCTCTAGATGCGACAAAAAAATTTGAGAATCATTGCATCTAGACATATAGGCTCTGTTTGGTTCAGCTTTTATCGACAGATTCCGCTGTCGCGCAGCAGAATCTAAATCAAAGGGCGAATCCAGCAGAATACGATTCCAGAAATTCGCTGCAAAAATCTGAACCAAAAGCGGAAGCAGCCTAGGACGTGCTTTTACAAAATCTGATTCCGCTGCGGACCAAAATCTAAAAAACTTGTATCAGTTGGTTTGCCAAATGACCTACATCTTTTTCACATCAGATTTTTCACAGCTGTTTTTCCACAGCTGCTTTTAGAAATCCACAGCCAAACCAAACAGGGCCATAGGTTCATGAAGTACAAAATAAGCATAAGTTATTGATCAGGTCTGAGGGTAAAGGGGGCGGAAAAGGTGATCAAAATAGCAAGCTAATTCTTCACAAGTATTTCAGCGAACACTTCATATGTCCATGTAAAAAAGTAGAAGCATATCATGAAATCCACGAGCACCAAGTTAACAATACACTTGCAACAACTACTTAATAAAAGTATCCCAATATAATGATCAGCATATAAAAAACTTCATGTACTCCCAAGTTATTCCTTCACTGGTGTCAACACATCAACACATCTGAGGAATACCATACTTGAGTAATACTCCATATGTTCATAACCAAGTATGTCATATCTTTGGTGTCATAACCAAGTATGTCATGTCTCTGGTGTTCATAACCAACATATGATCAACACATCCAAGGAAGTGTTGCACAATATAATAACCAAGTATGTCATGTCTCTGGTGTCAACACACATCAACACATCTGAAGAATACCACACTTGAGTAATACTCCATATGTTCATAAAAATATGATGTTATAACTTTTCCCTAATTTGGATGTATATAGACACGTCTTAGTGCGTTTTTTCACTCATTTTAGCCTATATGTAGTCCATTTTAAAACATCCAAAACATCTTATATTTGTGAACGTAGGGAGTATGTACCAATAGCAAGCCAGAACTTGAGTAGCAATAAGTATGACAAAAGAAACTCCAAATCAAGGGGAGACCCAACAGATTGAAGTGGAAACCTTGTGAAAAAAAAACCATGTGCATCGTCTAGCAATTTTCTACTATAAAGATGAACCACCAAGCAGAAGCCAACAACAAAGCTCCAAGCACCCAATTTTAGTACTCAGATTTGAATGAATTTGTAAATCAAACAACCTCACTTTATGTCCTTACTCTAGAACTCTTGAAGACATAAAAAAGTTCAGCTATCTCCGTCAATTCATGAGTTTGGGTACTTGTATTATAACTTTACAGAAAATCCCTCAGTTTGCTAAATATATCTCAAACAAGTAAGTTTGTCAGAACCTTTTTTAGTTGAAGTTCATGAGAACTTATTGTGCAACACTTCCTCCATCTCAAAATATAGTTTGTACCAGAGGATACCCGCGCGTTGCTAGGAATTTCCTATTGAAAATTTGGATTGATAACATGAGGACCAAAATTTAAAATAATTATGACTCATTATATTTGATTATGTATAGTTATAAAATATTTATTGAATATAAGTAGAATAATTGAATGGAAAATATTTTTCTATGTATGATTGAATGTTGTGGTGGGTCTTTTTCCATGCAAGATTGCATGTTTAGATGGACCTTATCTCATGTATAATTATGTGGTGAAGTGGTATACGTGCATATTGAGATAAATAAGTTAGTGAAAATGACTTTCTTATGTATGATTTTGAAAAAAAAAATTTGGACGCACTAGTGTGGCGATTATTCAATGCGCCATGTTGTTACCATGCACATGATGTTAACAAGCAGTAGCGCACGATGCGCGTGATTTGTGTGGCAGATCGAACGGTAGGGAGCCCGTAGCACGAGCCGAGCTGCCGCATGTTCGTGTATTAACTTTGGAATAGATCTTGTCAAGTAGTGAAAATTTTGATCAAGTTTATAGAAAAATTTATAAACATTTAAAATTTATCATTAGTAACCTTTAACAATCCGTGTTTCTGAACGACGAAGTAAGGGCATGTACAATGATTGATAAGACAGTCTTATTTTAAGTCTTGCATGTAATTTAAATATGACAAAAAATATATATCTATAATGGATTATATCTTAGCCTTATCTTCAATTAGCTATTCCTAAAACATGGTGAGACATATTGTGTTAAGAGATCATTTTTTAAATAAGAGAATACAAGTCTTTTCTTATGATTTCTCTCCTCCATCTCAGCATTTATCTTATGTGTCACTTCTAAGATAGCACCATTTTACTCTCTGTTTTTATTTAGTCCGCGTGTTAGCTTTGATCACATCAAGCTTTGTAAACTTTGATAAAATTTATAAATAAAAATATTAACATATACAATAACAAATCAATACCATTAGATTCATTATTGAATGTACCTTCACATCATTTTAATTTTTTATGATAAATATTTGGAAAATGTTCCTTGCCGATCGACCAGCTGAAGATTCGGCCTCTCTGGTGCGCGCCGTGGGATGAAACTGAATCCATCGTCCCCTGTTTGCTTCACAGATATGGACATGTTGGCACACTCACCGCTTTTCACCCTGCACATACCTTATCTCTTGATGGGAGATTCTCAGCCACTCCTTTTATTTTCGCCAGAAATCCTACACCTACGAAACCTTACATAACACAGTTACGTAACTGTTGTGGAAACGTCATGGCAAATGTCCTAG